TCTCTCTCTCTCTATATGTATATGTTCCCACTTTATGTAGTCTAGAGATGTGCTCAATAGATACCTAATATGCTTATAATGTTGTATTTTCAAGGCTTAAGAAGCTACACAACAACCTATATATAGAGAGTGAGAGATTTCAAAAGCATATTTGTGACTTAGTGGACCTACATTTCTTCTCGTATCTTCTATTAGTTATAGATTTTACCCAGCCTTATAATGTTTTTAATCCGTATTTTCCATATGGCCATAAATGTTTCCTTATCATTTTTTTGTCAGCATCATGTTATCGGTATCAAATACCAACAAACTAAGAAAATGGCGAATTACATGACTACATGAGTCTTGTAATAAGCTATGGATGCAATATGTTATGTATACGCATTTATTAAATGTTTCAATGAACAAAAATTACCTATATTACACGAAAATTTTGGGTGAAACACACGCATTTGTATTTCTAAGCCCTGTTTTTCTGGCAACATAATTAAAGCTGGTATTTCGAGTGAAAAGTAAATAAAATGTGATGTTTTTGTAATGGGTACGTGATGGGTTGAACACACGTGTAAGCGAGTGGGATAATGCTCAAAGTTCTACAGCATCAGACAAAAACCCACCTCATCATCCATTCTTTTCTTCTTTGCTTATCTCTGAAAACTCAAATTTCATAATAATCACAGTTTAGTTTTTTGTCAAATAAAATAAACTAATTATAGTTCAGTTTGAAAATAATCGTTTTAAATGCAATATGATTGTTGGGTTTTGTTAGCACTAAGTGCTGTGAATTTTCGCATTGTTTTTTTTTTTTTTTTTGTATTTATTCAGTGCCAAGTGACAACACGAACTTACAGGATCATGACGCCATCATCTTGTTATGTTTCCCATTAGAGAAGAAAAAAAAAATGGATTTGAAGTTCGAACCATTTAACCAATGTTGAACTATTAATGATAAATATGGCCTATAATGACAAAATGGATAATACACTTAGAAAATGGCCCGTGCTAACTTTTAGTATTGTTGGACCAGGCCTGGAACTTAACATCAGATCCTAATACTTTAACATAAGATACTAACAGATTGTTGGATCGCAATTTTCTATCTTTAGTGAATTGGCATAAACTAATGCAAAAGTCCAGCTAATGGCTCTTGATATGACAAAAAAAACGATATACAAAGACTTAAACAAATCTCACAACTACAAAATCCCAAAAAAATGAACGACTCCACAAGTTGTTTCAACTAAATACTTAGGTAAGTGAATGATATAACATCAGATAGTTAAGGTAAATTCTTGTGTAGGGTGGTTAAAATATAGGAGACTACGAGTAATACATACTATATCAAAACCAGTGAATTCTCCGAATTAATATTGGTTTACCTTCTTTTGGTTTGCCAACAATGTTTCTACTTTTTATCGTTGGCATAATTATTGACATTTGGAGAGAAACCGCGTCCAATCCTGTCTCGATGAGGTGGCCATGTTGTGTGCCCTGTCAGTATCAAAACCTTACTCACCTAGAAATCTCACGATAAATATTTTTTTTCCAAACATCACGAGTATGCTAGAAAGCCTTTATTCAAAAAAAAAAAGAAGAAAAAACAGCACGAGTATGCGTAGTTGTTTAATGTTTTTATACATTTATATGAACCTTATTTATATGTTGACGCAATAAACTAATTAAGTTTTGTTTTATATTATCTTCTTTATATCAGTGCTGAATTTATATTTGGACTATGTGTTTATCATTTTTTCGTGATCGAACATTTGATGGCACCTCCATTAATTTATTCTCATGTCATGAATTATTAGTATGCATAATCCTTGAAAATATATTGTTATGGTTGTTAATCATTCTCATATACGATAAGAAATAAAGTTATTATCATATTCGGCAACCATGTTCAAACAAACTTTGTACTAAAATATAAAAGGAATAAATGGTTCTATTCATGATTTTATGAGCTGGCAAAAGTTATTGTGTTTTCATTACATGAAAACTAAGCACAAGTTGTAAAGGCTTAGATATGGATTTGACAGGGTAAAGTATTTTCTTGGGCAGAGGCATTTCCCACAATTAAATTTTAAAATACACTTAGTTATATACATGTGATCCCACATGGATATGAGTTAGAACAAGAGAACAAAACGGTGTGTCCATGACTAGGTGGGGAATGATTAATGCCACCTAAAAACTGATCACCAAGTAATACAAAAATCACAATTCACAATTTCTTTTGCAGAAAAAAAAATTCTTGCAGAAACATAAATTTTCGTTTTGTAAAAGTTTTACCAACATTTATATAAGATTCATTTATGAATATCTCCTGGTGCTTTCTTTTTATTTTTGTTGTTAGCTAGTTTGGTTCAATGTTGTAAGGATTGTTTTGATAGAGTTACAAACGTTAAAAATATAGCGATTTAATATTTTATTTTTTTAAAATATATAGTAATGTTAAAGGCATTTTTCTGTTTCAAAAATATATAGTATTTGTTTTTCCACACAGTAATAAGACATATTAAATTTTGATTAGTTAACTATTTTACATAGCTTTTAATTAATAAAAATTAATAAGCATAGTTAAATTTTTAAAATTTATAATTAATCAGTATTAACTAAGAAAAACGATATTGAAAATGTAAAAATTTATAATTAATCAGTATTAAATAAGAAAATTATATTGAAAATGTAAAAATTATTTTTTAGTTTTTAATTCTAATTTTTTATCTGTTGATGATACATTATTTTTATACTATGTAACTATTTTTTTCATTGATTAAGTTCTATTTAAGTAATATAGTGTATGATATTTTTGTACCGAAACATACACAATTAATTATATCTAGAGAAATTACACCTAATAATTAAGAAAATAACCAAAATCATATTTTTTTTCTTTTTATTTTATTTTTATTATCCGCTCTCTTAAAAACTAATTTTGTTTTTATTTTTGGTTAGTTCACAAATAAGTTACCAATCCAAAGCATCAAGTAATAAAATAAAAAAGGGTGGGAGTATTAAATTGCAGTTATAGTGTCGGTCTCATGTATTATTAGAAAATCAGTACATCAGTCTCGGACGTTATAACTTAAAATCTTATTTTTAAGACATACTTCCTTGGTAAGAAGTAGCTATGAAGTAAGAGTAATGATTATGCTTAATAAATATCCCTTTTCAAGTTTAGTTACACTAGTTGATTATGATAAGCTTGATGAAACTTCAATGATATGAGTTTTTAAAAGTTCGACCAAACATTTAAAGTGTAAATGTGTGTTATCATCATCACAACTCCCATCGATCTCGCTTAAACTTCTAAACTAAACCAAAATCAGCAACTAACTCTTAACAAACATTTTATTAACATACGAATACACAAAAGATAAATATATAAATATTCTAGGCACTCAACGAATTCTTCCATACATTAAGTCCTTAAATGTTTTCTGAAACAATGTACCTTGGTCGACACAATCTATAAAGATATTAATTCTTAAAGAAACTCATTCGAAATTTATTTTAAAAGGCTAAAAGAAATATCAATAAACTTTGTTTTAATAGTCTTACCAAATCATCTGAACTTGAATTTGAAAGGTGTGGCGTGTGGCAGATTCAACTAAGAATCTTGAATAGACCCGTTACCTAAAGTTATATTTATTTCACAGAATTCACCTTTAAATATAAAACTCGAAGACTTGAAGTTGAAGAAACGTAGAAATAGTTTGTCGGTTACTTTTTTTATGATTCCTGCCGTTTTATTTCATAGTTGGTTAGAAAGAAAGAGTCAACCAATAGTTTTCTTATGGGTCGACCTATAGAAAATGAGACAACTCTTTTCATTCCACACTTGAACAAATGATATATTTCAACAATTTGATAATCTCAACACTAAAAAGGAAAAAAAAAAAAAACCCTTCAACGTATTTCTCAACTGACTTCAAGAATCACCGAACAAACTATTAAACAAATTCAAATTTAGACCAAACAATTTTGAAAGAAAAAAAAAAGAATCAAACAGACAAAGGACTTGGTGAACCAGATGAACGAGAAACCTCCTCAATGAGCCTCGTGACTTCACTCATAGACGGACGACTATCTGGATACTGAGCAGTACAGCTTATACCAATCTTCAAAAGCCTGATCATGTTCTCATTACCTTCAGCTTGATACCTCGTTAGCTCTGGATCAAACACATCTGATGGTGATTGTTGTTCAGTAATAGACGAAACCCATCTCGGTAAATCCACTCCTTCTTCATTTAACTGCTGGTGCGTTGGAGATTTCCCTACAAAACAAACAAGCCAAGTTAATTAGAATCAAGTGTACAAGACACTCTCTTTTCTTTGTGTCGTACCTGTGAGAAGTTCAAGAATGAGAACACCGAAGCTGTAAACATCAGCCTTTTGGGAGATTCTACGAGCATCGGTAACTTCAGGAGCACGGTAACCATCAATACGGTTAGGTGTAGATGTAGCACTGATCATAGGCGCAAGACAGTAGTCAGAGACTTTAGCCTCATAGGATTCAGACAAGAGAATGTTGGAGGACTTAATGTTCCCATGAGATGTTGTCGCGTCACGTGAATGAAGGTAACTAATGGCTCTTGCTGCTCCTAGAGCTATACTCGCTCTTGTTTCCCAACTCAATGGACTTCTTCCACTTCCTTTGTTCCCTGTAAATCACAAAGACGTTTAACTAAGGACCGGTCCTGAACAAAGCCAAATGAAACATTGGCCTTATGCCCGCAAATTTTAAAATTAGTCGAAAAGGAAAAAACATTATACCGTGTAAGAGAGCAGACAAGCTTCCTCGTGACATGTACTCAAAAACAACAAGCTTCTCATCAGGGCTGAAGTAATAAGCGATCAATGTCACAAGATTAGCATGGCTGATAGAACCAAGAACCTGCAACTTCTCTTTAAACTCTTTCTCAGGCACAACTACATCTCTCAACCTCTTCACAGCCACCACTAAACCATGCTCGAAACTCGCTTTATACGAAGATCCAAACGCTCCTTTCCCAAGAACCTCCGCAGAAGCCTTCAACAACCCATCGAGATCAAACACACCAAACGTTTTCACGAAAAACGTCAGATCTTTACTGTTCTTCGCTCCACCGTTTCCGTTAGCCACCACCGGAGGAGGAGGAGGAACATTCTCCACCGCCGTCGTTTCCTTAGCTACAGCGGCTGATGAAGCTGCCACAGGAGCCGCTGCTTCGATGCTTCTCGACTCCACATTGTCTTGTTTCTTCTTCTTCCTTCTGCAGAGACAGCACAAGATCAAGAAGAGCAAGATAAGCCCGAAGACTGCAGCAATCACTATTCCGACAATAGCTCCGACAGAAAGCTTGTCACTTTTTCCCTTTTCTCCGTTTCCGGCGACGACCACGGAGCAAGCTTCCAACGGCTTCCCACAGAGAGAGTTCCCTTCAAAAGCGGTTTTAGGCAAACCGGACAACGGATCCGGTATCGACCCGTTTAACTGATTCGAAGAGACATTAAACTGCTGAAGCTTTAGCTTAATCTCCGGGATCGAACCGGTAAGCCGGTTATCTTCCAAATAAAGAGTAGCTAACCGGGTCGCCGAATTAACATTAACCGGGATCTGACCGGAGAATTTATTATGAGCGAGGTTAATCCGAATCACGTTAGGTAAGGTGAAGAGGAAAGAAGGTATCTCTCCGGAGAAGGCGTTTCCTTGGAGGTAAAGGTAACGGAGGAGAGTTAGGTTAGCGAAATCAGGAGGGAGCGGACCGGTTAAGGCGTTGAACCGGAAAGATAAAGTCTCGAGCTTTGTTAGGTTTCCGATTGCGACTGGTAACGGACCGGATAAACCCACGCCGGGTAACCGGAGGGCTGTGACCCGACCCGCATTGCATTGGACTCCTCCCCAAGTGCAAGGCGGTGCCGTTAGGTTCCAGAGGAGAGGACGGCCGTGGACGCCGTCTCGGAGAGCGATTAGTGCTCGTCGGTCGGATTCTAGATCTGATGTGACGGTGGTGAGGGAGAGTAGGAAGAGGAAGAGGGAGAGACCTAAACTGGTCATTTTCTTATTTCTAAAGTGAATGAGTCTCTTGTCTGAGATCGAACCGGATGTTGTCGGAAAAATCTTTGTGGTTTTTTCAGACAATGTGTGGAAGAGTGTTTAAGAAAGAGAAAATACTCTCACATGGATTTCAGTAATCTCTTTCTCTCTCTTTAGTCTCGCCGCTTATATGAGAGAGAGGATGCAAGACTACAGCAGCAGACAGCGGGAGAGAGAGAGAGAGAGGGACTATAATTGCAGACTGCAGTGGTTGGAAAGAAAAAGTTAATCGTTGAATTTTACCTTTTTTACAGAAACCTAGAGAATCTTTCTATTTTTAAATTCATTATCTAATTTAAAGGAAGAAGATCATCCAGAAAATATTTTCTTTGCTTAATATTACTGTGTAATTTATTTAGCATTTATGTATAAATGTCAGGGGATATATATATAATGGTTAACAAGTCTAGTGTAAAATCTAGAGAGATTGAGAAAGATGTTAGTGTAAATACTTTACATTGCGAGAGAGGGCTTAGTAACTAATCTCAGTCTTTAGCTTAATTACATTTTCTTACGAATGAGTTAAAAGAGATAAATTTAATGTATAAACGTTAATATATTATCAACCAAATATGATATTTGGATGGAACATTTAAAGAATAATAAAATACTAGGTGACCCATCCGCACCATGTGCGGGTATAAAAATATAGTATAATGTTGAGACAGAAGTATCTATTGAGTTCAAATGTGAGAGTTAGTGGAACAAGTGAGAGTTTCAATGCTGAGACAAGATTTGCGCAAATCTCTAGGATGCAGTAGGAGTGGGCAAATCGTTATTTTTTCGGTTTGGTTTGTTTAGTTCGGTTGTAATATATTTTTTCAACTGAAATAAACCTTATTTAGTCTGGTTTGGTGTGATTTATATCCAGTTCAATTTATATTCAGTTTATGGTTACACTAACAGAGAACAGTTGTTACTTGTTAGAGCACCTCCAACAGGATCTTAGAAGAAGTGTTTAGGAAAAAAATAATTAAATAATTAGTAGATTACACAAAGAATTAAGGATTCGATCATTATAATCATTAAATAAAGACTGTTTTTTAACGAATTCTTACACTATTTGCGGGTTCTCATGATACGTGACAACCCGTAATTCATTGATATTTTTTTAAAAAAATCTAAAACATAAAAAACAATAATAATTAAAAAAATTTTAAAAATAGTTTTTTAAGGACTTTAACGGATAACACCATTGGAAATGCTCTTACACATTATATTTTCCCTAAGTGTATATCGGTATATCCTTAATATTTTGGGTCGACCAAAACAAATTGAACGAATGGGCTTTCAATTCGTCCCAAATATTTGATATTCAAATAAAAAACTTGACAAAAAGCAAGCCCATCTTATATTAGATATGCATAAAAAATAATTCAATACAAACTAATGAGATTGGGTTCTAAAAGAAATTATTACTTTGAAGCCCATTTGATTGCAAGGGACAATGATTTTCTAGGACACGACAACATACAGAAGTTGGACGTTATAATAGAAAGCAACTTTTGATAGAATAGTAGAATACTACTCAAGTCAACTAGCATATATCGACGTTAGAATCTCTCCTATAATACTTTTGACCCCCCAAAAAAAAAGTATCTACTATAATTTTTATTTTGTTAAAGGGTTTAAATATCTCCTATAACTATAAGGCTCTACATTTTCTATTAAACACCAGATATAGAATAAAAATCATTCCAATAAAACACCAAAATAACCAAATATAGAGAAATAAACAGTGTTACTCCAATAACACTATTTATTTATTTTATTTTTGGAACTGAACCTTTCTTTTTTATAAGATGATCTCTTACTTTTAATAAGAATTATTTTACCTCTGTTTGTTACTTGGATTCAGGAGTGCATTACATCACCGCGGTTCTCAATTGCGATAAATGGAGAGCTGGCAGGATTCTTTCCCGGCAAAAAAGGGCTAAGGCAAGGGGATTCGATATCGCCTTATCTCTTCATCCTTGCTATGGAAGTTTTATCGCATATGCTGGAACAGGCTGTCAGCTCCGGGGAGATAAGACTGCACCCAAACTGCCTTGACCCAAAGTTAACTCACCTCCTATTTGCTGATGACCTGCTAGTCTTTTCTGATGGATCCAGACACTCTATTTCAGGGATTAAGAAAGTGTTATCAATATTTAAAGAGTGGACTGGTCTGGATATGAATGCAGCAAAGTCAGAGATATTTTTTGGTGGCTATTCAAGCATAGAAGCTTCGGTTATTGCTGACATTTCTGGCTTTCGGATAGGTTCCTTTCCCACCAAATATCTAGGACTGCCTCTTAATCCAAGCAGGATAAGCTACGCTACAATGCAGCCGTTCATAGAGAGAATCACTGCTAAGCTTCATTGCTGGACAGTTAAAACATTGTCTTTTGCTGGTAAGGTCACGTTGATAGCGTCAGAAGTGTATGGTATGGTAAATTTCTGGAGTTCAGTTTTCGCTTTACCGAAGAGATTCTATGAGAAAATCGACTCCCTGTGCTCAGCTTTTCTTTGGAAGAATAGCACTACCTCCGCAGTGGGTGCTAGGGTTAGCTGGGAGAATATTTGCAAACCAAGAAAGGAGGGTGGTCTTGGTATTCGAAGATTAGAGGAGTTTCAGGTCATCTTTGATCTGAAGAGAGTTTGGAATTATTTCTCCGGGTCAGGTTCTCTTTGGGTGGCTTGGTTGAAGGCCAATGTGTTTGCTCGTAAAAGTTATTGGTCTACTGAAGACTCTCAGCGTTTCTCCCCGACTGTGCGGAGCATGCTGAAAATCAAAGACATTATTGCAATATTCCTCCGCTGCAGCATAGGTGATGGGAGGTCGGCTATGTTCTGGCATGATTATTGGACTGATATAGGACCCTTGATCTCTGCGTTTGGAGAAACAGGTACTAGGGAACTTCGCCTTCGAAGAGAGGCAAAAGTTTGTGATGCGGCTGCAAATGGTCACTGGGTACTCCCTCCGGCTCGTTCAGATGTAGCAGAAACCTTGCAGATTGTTCTCTCAACCATGACCCCGCCGTCGAGGTTGAATGGAGAGGATATATTCTTATGGAGGAATGGTGAAGATCAGTTTGTTCAAAAATTTTCAGTCAGAGCAACATGGCAAAGACTGAGAGAACCTTCTCCGCAAGTGCAGTGGAGTAGCTTGGTCTGGTTTAAAGAGGAGATACCGAAGTGTTCTTTTGTTACTTGGATGGCGGTTCTTGCTAGGCTGCCTACCAAGGATCGGCTTGCTTCTTGGGGCATTAATGTTCAATCACAGTGTGTTCTTTGTCCCAACGGAATAGAGTCTCATTCTCATCTCTTTTTCACGTGCCCTTTTGTTGCTGCATTATGGGCGAAATTTTCTGGGAGAGCAGGCATCGTAGCTCCAGTCTCTATCCAGGCTTTTGCTGATTTCATTACCTTTCCGCAGGTTACAGGAGTTGCAGGTTTGCAGGCTGTTCTGAAATTGTTGCTGCAGGTTATTGTGTACTGCACTTGGCGCGAACGTAATCTGCGTATTTTCCAGCAATCCCAATCACCTGAAGCTGGTGTCTTCTCCCGGATAGACCGCCTGATCAGAGATCGTCTTCTCGCCATCAGCCGCCATCAATCTCCTCCACCCTCTCCTTCGCTGCTTCTGATCTATCTCTCTTTGTTGTCTTAAGTTATGTAATCTGTTGCTCTTTTATCTTTTCCCTTCTTGTAATAAGTGGTCTTCCACAAATCTTGTAAAAACTGAAAAAGCTTGGTATGAATCTTAACATTTACACCAAAAAAAAAAAAAAAAAGAATTATTTTAAGAAAATTTTATGTTATAACTTTGTACATTTAAATATTATAAAATCAATTATTAAATTTGGTTAAAATTTAGATACACTAATAAATTATATTAGATTATAAAATTTAGAAAATGATGATTAATAAACTAATAATACATAAAATAATAAAATATAAAAGACTCAAACTTATCATAACATACATTATGATATACTATAGATAATTTAATGTTTTACCAACAACATCTAATTGCTGAAAACATGTTTTTGAAATAGACACTTTAGTTCTTTAGGTACTCAAGGTTTTTCTTACAACATCATAGTAATAAAATTTGTGGGTATAAATTTAGCATTTGAAAAGTTATAGATTAAACAACAAATAAATAAATATAGAATATAATAAGGATATTTATTTAAAGTAAGAATATAGATAACTAGTGGAATAAAATCTTTCTCAATTTTTAGAATATTCTATTTTTAGAATAAAAAATAAAGGTAGCCATTAGAGATAGTCTTATAACAAAACAAAATTAAAGGTTCGTATTGTGATTTAATTAGCGTTTGCACAAGAGCTACTTAAACTTAGATCTGAAATCTCAAACAATTCATGACATGCCGCTACGTTTTATTTCTTTACACATTCTACTAAGATTCTTAAAAAGTTAGAGACATATATGTCCACGCATAAGTGAATGACCTGGACTGGTAAACTCGCGCGTTTCACCCTGATTTCAAGCTCATTTTCAAATCAAATCATTTGTGCGTTGAAACTTTGAAGCTAGGTTTTAGCGCAGTTGTGTACTTGGTAATTTAAAGTTTTCTTGGTCAGACTAACTCATCTATAAGATTACGGCTTAAGTTTGCTGAGGCAGGACCAGTCTATAGTAATGGAACTTCAATCCAATAACCTTAATACCTTATGAGTTATGACCTGTAGTTAACAAAAGTATATCAACAAAAAATCTAATCGTTATATTAACCAATAACAAGAGCACAATACCAAATTGTACATCGCCAAAGGAATTGATAGCTAATCCGAATTGGAATTTTAATAGTAAACTGTAGATTTTAAAAAATGTGCTTTAGGATCTTACACTAAACTAAAAGCTAATATACATTGGACTCCACTAGCTGTTGCGTGGCATACATTTTATTCGAAATAAAGTTCAATGTAATGGCAGAAAACCACTAAAATTAAGACTATGCCATTATCAACTATGCGTAATGCACAAGTAGTATATAATATTATAATATGACGTCGGGAGATTAATAATAATTGGAAGATAAGAACAAACGCATATGTCATTTTGATTGATACAACAACCCATCGGTCCAACTTATTATCACTATTCAATTACAAGTTGGAACTATGTGTGATGAGCAGATTACGACTCTCCCACCAATGAAAATAAAGAAC